CTTAAATAGCTTTTTGTAGGATTTTTAGATGAAAATACATGCCTTTCCAAATATTTTATCTGTGACAAATAGGATGTTTTAAATTTCTACAGGTTAATACTGCAGGGCATGTAGTCTAGACCCTTGTGCCAATGTAGAGTGTATGAAATTTTTGATTTGGGAGCATCTTGGCCTCTTATCCTAGAGGTATGGACTGAAAACCAGAGAGAACACTCTAAAAACAGGTTATTTTCATCTGTTTCTACTCCAGTTGCCAAAAGTGATTTAGTATGACATTAAGTGCACTGTGTTTATATCCAGCCACGAAAGTTGTAAATGTATAGATATTGATTAACTTTTTATTTTTAAATAACCTAAGACAGAAAATTTTTTAAAAATTCTGTATAACCTTCAGATTTCCCGAATGTTAACATTTTACCATAATTGCTTTATTTTTTTCTGAAGTGTTTGATAATATGTTGCAGACTGATGCCTTTTTATGCTTGAATGCTTCTGTGTGTATTTTCCCCCCAAAATGAATATTGATACAGTATTTTTTTTGTGTGTGTGTGTGTGTGTTTCTGGGAATTGAACCTGGGAGCTTTCTGCCTCTGAGTTATCTCCCAGACCTTTTTGTTTTATTTTGAGACCAGGTCTTGCTCAGTTGCCCAGGTTGGCTTAGAAATTGTAATCCTCCTGCCTCAACCTCCCAAGTGGCTAGTATTATATTTCTGTCGTCTGGCTTCTTATGCTTTTCAGGTACCCAAATGAACTTATCCACAGAGAATATATCATATTGTTTATATTTCCCTGAATGCAAATATGAAATGTATTAATATTTATATTTATTATACTTGTTGTTTATACCATGTTTTAATTAAAAGAAAAACAGTTAATATCTTTTGAAAGTGATTTTATGTTGTAACTGGCTGTATGAATGTAACGTAACCCTAGCCATCTGTTTCTCCCCCCGGCCCCCCCTTTTTTTTAATAATTGAGGAACCCAGTATTTCCACACTGGGATGAATTTTAGGTTGCATCATTTTCAGTTTCCTTAGTGCTGGCAAGGCACCCCAAACAGCATTCTCCAGAGTAATAGGCTGTTCCAAGCCCTAGGTCACTAGCATCCATGGATTGGTTCCCACACCCTCCCAGGTGAAGCCTGCTGTCTTCCCTCACCATAAACCAAAATAAGGGAGGAAGGAACCACTTTGACTCCCGGCACCTCCTCCAGGGAGGCTTCTTCAGCAGTGAAGGGCAGGAAGTTCCAGGCAGGATGACCTGGAGAATGCCCGGGTTGAGCCTCAGTTCTCACGGAACAGAAGCACAGGCTAGGATGTTCTCACATCCAATGCAGGCTATTTGGCAGACAGTAAATATACTTTGGAGAGCTGTGGGACACCTCACAGAGAGATGTGACCGCACAGTAACTCTGCAGACTTAATCTGAACACTATGAACAGAAAAAATGTAAAATGAAATGAGTCACAGAGTTGGATGATACAGTCACCAGCTAGAAACTGAGCTGTTCCACATGCAGGCAGTTAGTTTCTGGGTGAGAGGGCAATACTCATTTCTCCAGGGTAGGAAATCAGTCAATGTCCTATCAACAGAAGTCTCCCTTCTCTGTCCCGTGTCTCTATGTCCTGCCCCAGGGCCTTACCTCTCCACCCCCATGCCCACCATCTCCTCTGGAAACTTCTCTGTCCTTCATCTTGGATCTCTGCACCATCCCGTACAGTGGTGAGCTCACCCCAATGCTGTACCTCCCAGGGCTGCAGCATCCAGTCCTTACCAGTATGTACCGCAGAACTCTAGGGGCCACCATTCATAGACCAGGCGAGCAGTGTGTCTGTTAAAAAGAAAATCTGTGGCATTTGGAAATAAAGTGTTGAAGATAGATGCCTTTATCTAATTCACACAGTTTCCTTATAGGCTAGCAGGGGCCTCAGCCCACCTAATCTGCATGATCTCTGCAGGACAAATTCTTGGTACAGAGTGTGCTCTCCTCCATTTGTCTGCATCCTCCTACACTCTGTGTCTAGTCTTCTGTCACGTTCATAGCTAAGTTGTGCCAGGGCAGTGACACAGGTAGCTGAGAGACTAAGATGGTATACAAGGCCCAAGGCTCTACTGAGAAATGCTTCTGGGGAAGATCCGGTGGTGACTGGCTGAACAGGCAGCTCTTCCGTCCCTCAAGATGCTGCTTTTCTTTAAGGATGACACACCTTCCCTGGTGCAGAGTGCATCATGTGCTTTATAGAGGACACAGAAGAATTAAATGTCCCTCTCCTATAGTTCATGACTCCTGACCTCTGTATTAAATAGGTCAACCTGTCACTGCATAAACTAAATAACAGGAGTAGGTGTGTTTGTTCTCACAAAATATCCATTTCATTGAATGGATCAGGAGTCAGCAAACTTTCCATAGAGAGCCAGGTGGTAAATATTTAAGGCTTTAGGGGCCCCACAGTCTCTCTTGCAACTATTCAGTTCTGCCATGTAGTGTGAAAGCAGCCTTAGATGATACATAAATGAGTGAGCCTTGCTGGGTTCCAGTAAAAGGTTGTGGACATTGAAATTTGAATTTCATAAAAGTTTCACATGTGATAAAATAGCATTTTTCCCCACAATTATTTAAAGATGTAAAAACTATTCTTGGCTCACAGACAAAAGCAGGGAGTGGATGGGTTTGGCTAGTGGATCACAGATAATGCCCTATTACAGGTGATATATAACATTCCTCACAACTCAAAAATGTTGTTTGTGTACTTAGCTTGACTATAAATTAAACCCCAAGTTAGTACAAGTATTAATCCTGTTGATTAGTCATTTGTAAAGTAGAAGGAGGCATTTCTTTTTTGGAAAATACTAGAAAGGGGAGCATTTTACTTATTCAAATAATTCCTGTCCTCTTCCCTGAACAACAGGCCAGCCCCATGCCTGCTGAGCTGCAGTGGTGAGAGGCCTGTACATCTGGACCTCAAGGTGCTTCTGCAGATGCACAGCAAGGGCAGACTCCTGGTCAGTGAAGTTTGGTGTCAGAGTCAGCCCCTTCCCCCTGAGGGAATAGCCTTGGACAGCCTGCCCCCCAAACCCTGGAAATGGCATTGGCTCTGGGCCTGGACTTTGAGTGCATCACTGACATAGCTGCTGCCTTCAACCAAGAGGGACACCTTTCAAGGCCCAAACCACAACTACCTCTTGCCCCAGGACACTAGATTAGATCCATCCTGAATACAGTTCAGCCTTCTCTGAACCTGCCCCTACCTGCTGGCCCCTGCCGAAGCTATAATCCTCTTTAAGCAGGGCTGTGAGGATGAGCTTACTTTCTAACAATGGGTCTGTTCCCTTTAGGTCCAAACTCTTTCCTGTTCTGTTATACAATCCTCCCTTGGCATCCAAGAGGTTCCATATCCGAAGACTCAAACCAACCACTGACTGAAAATATATTTTTAAAAAAAGCATAGCTGGAGGCTGGGGTTGTGGCTCAGCGGTAGAGTGCTCACCTAGCACATATGAGGGGCACTTGGTTCAATCCTCAGCACCATATAAAAATAAATGAAATGTGTATTGTGTCCAACTTTATATTTTTTTAAAAAATAACATCCGGGGCTGGGGATGTGGCTCAAGCGGTAGCGGGCTCGCCTGGCATGCACGCTGGGTTCGATCCTCAGCACCACATAAAAATAAAATAAAGATGTTGTGTCCACTGAAAACTAAAAAATAAATATTAAAAAATTCTCTCTCTCTCTTTAAAAAAAAATCACATTTGTACTGAACATATACAGACTTTTTCCCCTGTCATTGTTCCCTAAACTATTTACATAGCAATTACATTGTATTAAGGATTATAAATAATCTAGAGATGGTTTAAAATACATGGGAGGGGGTACATAGGTTATATGCAAATATAGGCCATTTTTATAGGGACTCGGCATCTGTGGATTGTGGTATCTGAGGGTTCTAGAACCCACCTCCTGAGGATGCTGAGAGATGACTGTTCATCCTCTGCCTCTCACTGGGCCTCATCTATGGTCCATCAGAGGAAGCTTTTCTATTTTTTTAAATATTTTTTTTAGTTGTAGTTGGACACAATACCTTTATTTCACTTATTTATTTTTATGTGGTGATGAGGATCAAACCCAGGGTCTCGCACGTTGGGGGCGAGCATTCTACTCTGAGCCACAACCCTAGCCCGTCTATTTTAAATCTTCTAAACCATCCAAAGTAAGTTCTTATAATATCCATCTCCTAACGCTTCCTCCAAACCTGTGTCAACTCAAGGTGCACCTGACAGGTAAAATAGAGGCCTCACAAGTGGATCCATGTGTTTGGCCTAGGAGCTGTCCTTCTTTTCCTTTTTGCAGGACTGGGGATTGAACCCAGGGCCTTGTACATGCTTGGCGAACTCTCTACCAGTGAGTTTTGCAACCCCAGGCCTGGCCTTTTAACTCTTGCCAACCTGGATGGCTAAGCACCCAACGCCTGGTTGGAAAGAGCCAATTCCTTACCAGCAGAATAAAAACAGAGGGAGAGGAGCTGGTTCCACCAACCAGCACTAGACATTTCATCAAACTACAGATGGAATCTCCTCTTCCCCCTATCAAGCAAGGCCGTCTGCAGGGCTTCTGCCCAAGGCTACTGTGTCCCTTTGTGTGGGAGCCCACACTGCCTCTAGCAGATCACTGTGTGCTTACCAGATAACACCACTGTTAGCTAATTCCCTTCACTGCCCACAGCCCTGCCTCAGTCAACACAGTGTGACTCATCACATAAACCAGGCACTAATGCTGCTCTGGAAAATCCCCTCAGGACTTTTCGAGGAATCCAGTGATACCCATAGAAAGTTCTTGCTGAGTTCCCCGAGGCATCTCCTGCTCTATCAGGGCATTACTTAAGAAAACACAAGTTTAGACAGGATAACTTAAAAATATCAAAACTTTGCAGAAACAGCCCCAAATAAGAAAGGTTAAAAGGAGAGAAAAGACTTCACATAGACTTTTTACAAGTTCACTATACAATCTTTTTATTTCCAGCTTAAAAAAAAACCCAAACACTTAAATTATTAGGAATATATTTACAGGATCAATCACATTTTAAGCCAGCAGTCAAGACATGAAAGCCTGCTAAGGGTCTCTCACTGTGACAGTCCGGACAACTCATTTGCCCAACTAGAGTTAAGGAGAAGACTGGCGGCCGGCCCAACCAGTAGTGAAAAGAACACGACGGGTGTGTGAGGGCCAGGTTTCGGATAATGACCTGCTTTTTTAGTGTTTAAGAGAAGGCTTAATTTTTCTGAGATATTCCTGTAGAATCACTCTAGAAACTTGTATGATTCAGAAAATTCTTAAAAGCCATAAGCTTGCCTCCCCAGGAGACCCATTATCCCCTGCTGGGTGCTGGAGGCCTCTGGGGAGGGAGTCCCAAGTGCTGTTCTCGGTGAGGTCCGAGCTGTTTCCCTGCTCAATGTGCTGGTGCCGGAGGTCCGTGGGCTGGACTGGTGCTTTGATTCAAAGCATTTAGAGAACATCTTCTCGCTCCTTTTCTGGAAACGAAATGATGGACACAGAGTTCCAGGTGTCATCCTTTTGTGAGATGTCCTTGTCCAAGGCCTCTAAGATGGGCTGAACTGGGTCTTTTAAGTACTAAAAAAGGTTGAAAACAAACTTGCGATTAGTTTATCAGTTCCTTGTACCAGACCTATTACTACTTTACTTTTAGCTGGTAGATTCATATTTTATCTGGGTAAGACTTTACCCTGTCCACATCTTTGTGTGTGTATGTGGCACTGGGGATCAAACCTAGAGCTTGACGAAGGCTAAGCACATGCTTTACTGCTGAGCTACACGCCCAGCCCTGAAATAACTTCTAATAGTGAACACCCCCGTCATCCCAGGAGGAGCTTTAATACTGACCCAAGGCTCAACACGTTAATCCTTTGAAAGGGTGTAACTCTGGAAAAGCGAGACAGAAACACTTGCTGCTTTCAGGGGAGACTGGTGGATTATGAATCCTAAAGTGTCTTTAAAAATGTAATTTGCCAGGTGCATAGTAGCGCACACCTTTAAATCCAGTGGCTAGGGAGGCTGAGGCAGGAGGATCATGAGTTCAAAGCCAGCCTCAGCAAAAGCGAGGTCCTAAGCAACTCAGGGAGACCCTGTCTCTAAATAAAATACAAAATAGGGCCGGGGTTGTAGTGGTCAAGTGCCCCTGAGCTCAATCCCTAGTACCAAAAAAAAACAAACCAACAAAAAACCAAAAAAAAAACCCCAAAAAACTTTTCAGTCAAGGAGGACAGGGACAGGGACTGCTCGAGCATTCAGCCATGACAGGGTAAAAGAGAAAGAGTTTCCAGCAGGTCCTCAGCCCCTGCATCACCTGTGGTTTCCACTCTACACAACACAGGACACGAGTCCTGGGGCTGTGCAGCTGGGGCCCCGAGGGAGCCGAGGCCCCGCTGTGGAGGGGTCTCAGCACTGAACTTGCTCTTTGCTCCTGCTTTTAGCCATAAATTCACCATGTTACTGAGAAACTGTTGCTTAGCTCTTGCAAATGCTGAAGGGTACCAAATACAGTGAGCCGAGAGCTGACTGATTAAAGGAGGAACAAAATCGTATCATGTGCTCTTGTGAAACCTCAGAAATAGAAGTGAGATATGATTCATTGTTCTCATGTAACTTCAGCGAACTTTGTAGATATTTTTCACACTTTCCCAAGAAAGCGAACTGAAAGACCCTGTTTCAGAGGCGTGACCTAGAGGAACGACTCACTAGGGCCCAGCTGATGGTTCTGCTGGAGACGAAGATTATTATTGCAAGTGAAGTTCCAAGGTCCAGTGACAGCTGTATGACCACATTAACCAGGGAGGTTCTGGTAGGGACCTTCTTACAAGCTTATGCATTTTAAATATATCGTTAGGGATGAAGGAACAGACAACTACAGGTCTCTCTAGAAGTGTCGCAATGTTTTCACAGACTTGGACTTGACATCTGTTCATTCTAGACACAGCAAAATAAGAACCCATTTTTAATACCTTTACTCCAAATTCACCAGAGAATAACATAAAATCTCTGGAAGCAAATGCTTTTATTTTGCAGTGTTGGGATGGAACCCAGGGTCTTGCATGTGCTAGGCAAGCTTCTGCCACTGAGATCCACCCCAGCCCTGGAAGCAAATACTTTTCAATGTTTTTCTCTCAAATTAGTTTTAAAAATGTCCTGACTGTATCCTCAGAATTCCCAGCCACTTCCCAGAGCCTCAGAGGACTGGGCTGTGCCAGAAACGAGACGGTACACAAGGCCCGGGCCACTTTTCTTTCTCTTTTAAAATGCTGGTTCCATCCCCTGAGTGCTTGGTGTACGAGGCCTGGTGCTCACAGCCCGGGGTGTGTACGTTTCTCCCTAAGTCTGCCCAGGCTCCTGATCTGGATCCCGATCCCTGAAGGTGAAGATCTGGCTTCCCATTCTTCAGCCAGGCTTTCTCCAGCCAGTGAAGGACAGACCCCTGCCTCTGGGAAGGGCCAACCACACAGCCAATCTCCCGGCCAGGCTGGGACATCTTTTTGGCCAATCCTGTGCCTTATTTATTTATTTTTCAATAATGGGGATTAAACCCAGGGCCTTGTGACATGAGGAGCGTGCGCTACCACTGAGCTACACCCCAAGTCCTTTTTCTTTTCTTTCTTTCTTTTGAGACAGTGTCTCACTAAGTTGCCCAGACTGCCAACCTGCAATCCTCCTGCCTCAGCTCCCCGAGCAGCTGGGATTACAGGCAGGTACTACCACGTCCGGCAACCCTGTGCCATTTTTGAAAAAAAGATCTATTTTGTGGTCAACCATACATATAAAATTTGCCGCCGTCACCATTTTGGGGTATCTGATTCAGTGGTGCCAAGGACATTCACAGTGCTGCACAGCCACTGCCACCAGCCATCTCCAGAATTCCACCTTGCAGAAGTGAAACTCAGAAGCACTCCTCCGCCCCCAGCCCCGATACCACCTTTCCACTTTTGTATCTCTATGAACTGCCTATTCTAGGAATCTCAAATAAATGGAATCATATATTTGTCCTTTTGTGACTATCTTTTTAAATTTGGCCCAAGGTCTCCAAGATTCAGGTTTCATGATGTATCAGAATTTTTCTTCTTCAGGGCTGAATGATACTCCATTGTATGAATGTTCCATGTTTCCCTTATCCAATCACCTCAGTGGACCTTGGCATTGCTTCCCCCATTAGATTTTGGAGAATACAATGAACATGGGTGTGCAAATAGCCCTGGCCCCTTTTTAAATGAAATCTGTGTTCACAGCTTTGTCCATGGCAATCATGGGGGGCCAGGCGCCGGTGGAGGGCCGATGCGTCACTCATGTACATGTGTGTACACTTACCTCCTCTATCTGTGCCGGGATGCTTGGCGGGGTGCGAAACAAGTATTTAACCACGCTTCCATATTTCAGGACCAGGAAGAAACAGGCCCCTGCCAGGAGCAACAGCGACAAAAGGGTTCCCACAGAGATCCCGATGACTTGCTGTTGCTTGGCGTGGGCTGCAGAGATGATATAAAAGTGAACAAGGGGACCTTCCCACATGACACGAACCCAAGTTAACTTTTCATCTGACAAGGCTTAAACAGGATTCACGTCCCGGTGAAGCAGACGGCTCCCCTTCCTTCTGTCCCCACCTCGTGTGCTTAAATTGATCCCCGAGCCAAAAATCCAAAATCTGAAATGCTGCAAGATCCCAAACATTCTGAACCCTCAGACAATACCACCAGTGGACAACTCCACAAGTGACCTCATGCAGGGATCACACTCGAAATGCAGGTGGACTAAAATCACTATAAAATTCCTGGGCTGGAGAGGCAGCTCCGTGGTAGAGTGCTTATGTAGCACGTGGGAGGTGCTGGGATCAATCCCCAGTGACAGACACACACACACACATTACCTTCAGTCTATATGTACAAGGTGTATATGAAACAAATGGATTTTGTGTTTAGACATGGGTCCTATCTCCAAGATATCTCATCATGTACATGTGAATATTCTAAAAATCTGAAAAAGTTTGGAATCCAAAATACTTCTGATCCCAAGCACTTTGGATAAGGGCTCTTCAGCATGAGGCTAGTTGTGCTGCTGTTCAACCTCATTGTACCTGCAGTCAGGTACTCTCTCCAAACCCCCTTCTCCCTGGGTCTCCTCACTCCCAACACTGGTTGCCTCATTAGCATCCCCCAATCTCGCTATTTGAGAAGTATTCTTCTCCCAGCTCATAAAGGATATAAGAAGGTGTGCTTACCATCTGCTGTTGTTTCGTAGCAAGATGTGTTGCTCAACTGCCCATGTCTGATGATATTTTGTGTATTCCAGAACAGCTGGGCTTCAACTTGTAAACAGTATATTCGGAAGGGCTTCAGATTATCCAACAAAATAAAGTTGCTCTGTAAAGGGCCTTTAACCTGTTGGAACATCACAACATGCATGTAAAGCACCCAGACGTGGCGTTGAGCCACTCCTAGTTTTTCCAGAGTTTCCTCAGATTCAAAGTGAACACATCAAAGAGTAGTAAGATATATATTTTTTAAAGGAGCCATTAACTTGCAGAGGACACATTTTTTTTTTTCTGTGAAAATTGGAGGGCAGCCAGGTGCTGTGGGTGGCCCACACCTATAATCCTGGTAGCTCGAGAGGCTGAGGCAGGAGGATCACGAGTTTAAAACCAGCCTCAGCAATTTAGTGAGGCCCTAAGCAACTCAGTGAGACCCTGTCTGTAAATAAAATATAAAAAAGGGCTGGGGATGTGGCTTGGTGGTTAAGTGCCCCTGGGTTCAATGCCTGATTCTCCCACCCCCACCCCCCCAAAAAAAAAAGAAAGAGAAAAAGAAAATTGATGAAAAGTGCCAACGGCTAGTAGATTTTTCTCCTTTAAAGTTGACATCTTGTGTCTTACGGTTAAGCTAACCTGGATACTTTACATTGGTCAAAAGAAAAAAAGAATATTCTAGGAAATAATGTTCTTTAGTTCCCAAGCTGCTTCAGGCTTGAAATGAGATGCGTTGATTCCCCATGCTGTTCTTGTCAAATGACCCTAAGCACTTATGGCACTGGGAGAAGGCTGGACTCTGACTGTCCAGGGCTGACCAGGCCCTGTGATCTGATGTCCCTTTGCCAACTTCCCTGCCTGCAGTCCCCACGCGTACCAGGCCTTTTCAGACCTGCTGGTTCTGCTCCACGGAAGGTTCTTTTGCGTTCTAGTAGACTTAGACCTGCTCACATATATCCTTTCTGCAGCTGTTCAAACCATTTAGACTGTGGTCATGGATTCTTTGTTTTCTTGGATATGAAAAGTGCCCGTGGGGGTGTCAACATCAAAGGGAGCCTGATGATACGGGAGCCTTCTCCTGATGTCACTAAGGGTCTTTTGGAGGCCTCACTGTAACTAATATGGAACTCTAAGACCTCTGCAGTCCTTGAGGTTTAACTATATAAATGGTTTGAATAGAAACAGGTCCATTAAAACCTCCCTGCACCCTGGCTCAGAGATGGCACAGGCATCATGGACGACGCACTAGCAAGGTTTGGACCCCAAACAGTGGGCGTGGGTGATACCAAAGAGGGGCCCTTTAGATACACCTGGCAGGCTAAAGTCTCTGCTCAGTGTGTGGAAAAATGGGTTTTGAAGAGGGAGAATTAAAACTAGCTCAGGGCTCAGACTCCAAGAGATACCAGGAGACCCCGGTCTCTTGGCCCATGTTAAAAGTTTTCTTTCTTCACCTAAATTGGAAACCCCAAAGGAAAGAAAATCAAAACAGAGAAGAAAAATGATCTTGCCTGTTGCATTCCTGGTTTCTCCTCATAATAGACAGTATACAAAAAAGTGACCATGGAGGTATCAACTTCAAAGGGAGGGGAGACAGCAATGACCAGGGTCCCTTCTCGTGGGGTCACCATGATGTGTTTTGGAGGCCCGACAGTAACTGAAATAGAATCACAAACAAAAAAACCATATATATATATACGCATACGGACACACCCACACAGACACTCTTATACCGAATATATGTACTATATGTACGCATGTATAATGTATAGCATGTACTATAAATATAGTGACTATGCAGTGTGTTTACACACATACATTTATGTTTGTAAATGCAATGAGGTTGCCTTCAGATGCACAAAACCCTGAGGGACTGTTCTGGGTTTGAGATTTATTTGGAAGTCCACCTCCAAGCAGAAGGAGGGGTCCTTGTAGGAGCACACATCTCAGCCCAGAGCAAGCCTCTCCTGCCTCTCGGGGGACAGGTCAGTATGAGGAGGTGAGATCATATCTGGCAGGTGCAAGATCCTCCCTGGCCAAAAGGCCACCAGAGCCACCATCTCTTGTGGAGTTGCTCCCTGGTCTCAACCAGAGACCTACCCAGTTATAAGAATCATTGCACTTGTTGGTGTCAAGAATATGGCTTTCCACCAGGTATTTAAGATTGGTGCCAGTAGTTGAAATGCTCTTTTCCAATCAGGGGTCATTTGACCAACAGCAATAGCTTCTGTTTTGTAGTGATACAACATATTTATCAGATTCCCAGAGAAACAGAACTTTTAAAAAATATTGTTTTAGTTGTCGATGGACCTTTATTTTATGTATTTATATGTGGTGCTGAGGATTGAACCCAGAGCCTCACACATGCTAGGCAAGTGCTCTACCACTCAGCCCCAGCCCCAGCCCCAGCAACAGAACCTTTGACCTTTGGTTAACCAAAGGTCATGCAGAGGGGGAAAATATTTGTTAGCCCTCACCTATGACATAAACATACATTTTCAATATAAATAAGTGGCATTTACTATTTACTTTTGAGACAGGGTCTCACTCTGTTTCCCAGACTGGTCCTGAACTCCTGGGCTCAAGTGATCTTCTGGCCTCAGACTTCCAAGGAGCAAGGGCTTCAGGGGTGCACTACCATTAATCACTGAGCCACATCCCCAGCCCTATTTTGTATTTTATTTAGAGACAGGATCCTGCTGAGTTGCTTAGGGCTTCTCTAAGTTGCTGAGGTTGGCTCTGAACTTTCAATCCTCTTGCCTCAGCCTCCTAAGCCGCTAGGATTACAGGCTCGGGCCACCATACCCTGCGTATTTGCTAACTTTTAACTCTAACTTTTAAGAGTTTTTCTCCTAGCTTCTTGTAACAGTATGTTTGAACCTAATAACTGAGAAATGTTGTTGTGGTGTAAGTCTATTTATTATGGCTCTTTATATGATTCATAGGACAACCAAGGACTGTGATTCATGATGTTTGATGGATGAAAGTTTATAGTGTTTAATGAACAACCGTGTATATGGTATTATTGACTGGAGGAACTCAGATCAAAGTACAGGTGTATGCTTCAAGTTCTGAGGGCCATCTTGGCATATTTACATAGGAGACAATCCTATTGCATGTTCACAGTGGTGGGGCTGGATCTCCCGTACGTCCCACGCTTGCCCTGGGTGCTCCAGGTTGGCAAGGGCCAGGCACACCATTTGGTTGAGCTTCTCTGTCAAAAACTGGTCCCTACAGGGTCTGCATCTGTGTCTTTTCATCTCATCGTTGTGGTGTAGGAACTACATCCAGATGATGCCAGGTGGCAGTGCCAGGGCCCCTGGCCCACTGCCCGCTGTAGCAAGATTCTAGGCCTGGCTGCCGGGGACAAAGAGCTCTTTCTCTGAAGCTGCTCACAGACACTCTCCTGCACATTCCCAGCTTCCCTTTTCAGAGCTCAGTGAACAGAGCATGGACAGCACGCTGACTGCAGGCCTGCCCACCAGCTGCAGGCCTCTTACCCCCGCTTTCTCTATGTGCGTCCATGTGCGCGCAGGGAGTGGCTGGGCACGTGGATGCCCGCCAGGACAGACCACTTCTAGGCTGAAAGGGCAATGCTCACAGACCTCCCTTCTGAACACAGCCCCGGTCTGGAATCTGATCTCCATCTGATACGCCTCATTCCTCAAGGGAAAAATAGCCTGCTTTCTCAAGGGCCCAGGAAAGAGTGGCTTGGTGAGCAAGGGGTGACCAATGAGAGCAGCCTCAGGCGCCCTGAGCTCTGCCTGGGGTTTAGGTGGAGCCTTGCGACAGCCATGAAAGGTGATCCCCACTCCCCAGAGGAGGAAACGGAAGCCCAGAGTGACACAGGCAGCAAACGGCTGTGTTGGGATCTGAACCCAGGTCTGTATGACACCAAAGCCTGCTGCCTACCCCCGCCCCACTCCTCCACTGTGTAAACCGTCTTCACGCTGGCTACTGACTCTGACCCCCCCAAAAGTGGTGAGGGCAACTGGTGGGCCTCGAGACCATCTCTGCCTCAAATCTTAGAAGCCAGGAGGCCGCAAGAACATCGCTGCTCAACTCGGGCTGCGAGACAGGGAGTGGCCGCTGGCTGACACCAGACCAATAATTTTCATGACAGGTAGTGCTTCTGTCACCATCTCTTGTCCCCTGGGTAGTGTTGGTAACTATCCTGACTTTTTTTTTTTTTTTAATTTCCTAGTTCCCACTCAGGTAATACTTCACAGCTCAAATGTGTGCTGGTTTTCAACTCAAGGACAAATGACTGTCCCTAGTAGATGACCAGCTGGTAGGGACTTCCTTGTGTTTTCTGTTCTGATCTGCATATCACCTAGAACAAACCATTGACTTAAAAAAAACAAAAACCACCAGCCAGGCGTGGTGGTGCCTGTAATCCCAGCGGCTTGGGAGGTTGAGGCAGGAGAATCGAGAGTTCAAAGCCAGCCTCAGCAATTTAGCAATGCCCTTAGCAACTCAGCGAGACCCTGTCTCTAATAAAATATAAAAACAGGCTGAGGATGTGGTTCAGTGGTTAAGCACCCTGGGTTCAATCCTCAGTAACAAAAAACCAAAAAAAACCCAAGGTTTTTATTAAGGAAAATTTCAAACACAAAGGAAGTTGAGACACGATCATAACACAAGCTCAAGTATTCATCGTGCAACCTAACCAGGAACTTACAGCCAGTTTGGTTTCTTCTGTGCTCATATACTTTGTCCTTGTCCCTCGCACTCTGAATTATTTTGAATGAATCTCAGACATTACATCATTTCATCTCAAATACTTCAGTAGGTACCTCTAAAATATAAGACCCTTCTCTCCCCTTTTTTGTTGTAGTAAAATACACATAAAATTTATTGTCCTAACTAAGACCACCCCCTCTTTTAAAAACATAACCAAAATATCATTATAATATCTAAAATAAATGAATAAGAACTGCTCTATGTGTCATCAAATATCTAGACGACAGTTACATTTCCTCAACTGTCTTATGCTTTTCTTTAGTTTGTTGGAATCAGGATCCAAGTAAGCATCATACTTTCTGTGTGCCCGAACCAGAGACACTTAGGAACTTCTGGCATGGCTGACCAGGCCACAAATAGACTACTAGCATCTAAGAGTCCTTCTGCCCCAACCAGTGCCTGGGAACACACTGGTACATTCAACAAATATTATGTGGCAGGCACTGTTTAAGGTTGGATGAAATCTTTCTTCAGTACAGAATTAGTTGTGCCAGAGCAGGAGGGTCAACAGTGGAGCCAACATGCTACCGTCCCATCTGGCACAGAGGAAAGGGCCAGGTGAGGTGGGCATGGGCTAGGACGTAGCTCAGTGGTAGAACAGTGGCGTAGCATGGAGGAACAGGAAAAGACAGGAAAGAGGAAGGGGAAAGAGGAGGAGAAGGAGAAAATAGAATGGCCTGTGTTCCGAGAACTCTGGATTTACAAAAACAGGTGGTGGGTCAACTTTGGCTCCTGGCCTGGCAAGTCAACACTCTCTGGCATCAGCCCCCAGGTCTGATCATCCTATCCACTTGTTTGGGGCCAGTATTTAGGGTGAGAGGCAGGACTGAGGCTGTGGGATGCGTACCACTCACTGAAGAGGCACGTCAAGTTCTCTTACCGTTCCGATAGTGTTGAAACCAAGGCATGGTTACCCAGGCAGAAACGAGTTCTCCCAGCTCTGCTCGAAGACGTAAGGTGACGTTGAAATACAACGGGAAGCCCTTCGAAAGGCCGGCTGCAGTGAAGTCACACTCTGTCGCTGTGATCTGAGTACAATTCACCATATGGACATCATACCATTCACCAACGGCGCTGCGAAGGAAAACAGGGTTTAAATTCACAGAATTCCTCTTCTTCATGGGTAAGAGTGTCCTGAGAACTGTTCTTCTAAAAATCAGCCTTAATATATAGCTTCTCAGTCTTTTGGCAAAGATCAAGTATAAAAACAATTGACAACTAATTCACATACCATAGGGTTTGCTTATTTTAAAACAGACACTTCAGCAGTTCTTAGTATATGCACAGGGTTTTATAGTCGCCACTAGGAACATTTTAGAGTCATTTCATCACCTTGAAAAGAAACCTGGTAGCCCTTAGCAGCAACTCTGCATTTTCTCTCAACCCCTGCTCCTGGGTAACCACTAATCTACTTTCTGTCTCAAGAGCTCTCCCTCTTCTGAATGGGATCATACAATATGAATGGAACCATATGATATGATTGGACTTTTTGATTGGAGCCTTTCACTGGTTCCTTGTGACAAGGTCCATTCATGTTGTAGCACGTACTTCACTTTTTTTTTTAACCAAATAATATTCCATTGCATGGATAGACCACATTTTGCTTATGCAATCATCATTTGGTAGACATAGGCATTGTTTCTACCTTTTGTCTAATTTGAAAACACAAGTTCTGGTGTGGACATAAGATTTTAATTTTTTGCAGTATGTACCTAGGAGTGGAATTGCTGGGTCATATGTTAACTCTATGTCTAACTTTTCCAGGATGTTATAGCTTGGATATGAGGTGTCTGTCCCCCCAAAAGCTCCTGTGTTAATGCAGGAATGTGCAGAGGAGACATGACTGGAGTGTGAGGGCTGTAATCTAATGGGTCCATCTTAGTCTAAATGGACTGGCTGGTAACTATAGGCAGGTGGGGTGTGGCTGGAGGAGGGTCACTGGGGACGTGCTCTGGAAGGGCTGTTCTTCCCTGCAGTCCCTCCCGGCCTTCCCTCTCCGCTCTCTGGCTGCAGTTAGGTGAGCAGCTTTCCTCCTCCACACCCTGCAGCCATGATATCTGCCTCACCTCAGCCCCTGAACAGTGGAGTCTGCCATCTATGGACTGAGACCTCTGAAACTGTCAGCCCCAAATTAACTTTTCTTCCTCCAAATTTTCTTGATGGTCCCAGTGATGCAAAACTAACCAACACAGGGCACTTGCCAGACTTTTCCCAGAGTAGCTACATTTTATATTCCCACCGATCATGTCTGAGAGTTCCAGTTTCTCTGTATCCTCAAAACACTTGTTATATCTGTCTCTGATCACAGCCACCCTAGTTTACACCTACACCTGGGTGTGCTTGGTATATCACTGTGGTTTGATCCGCATTTCCCTGATGAATATTGGAGTTCAGCATCTTTTCATGTGCTTATTGGACATCTATATGTCTTCTTTGGAGAACTACCTAATTAAATCCTTTATCTACCTCCTAAGTGGGTTATGCGTCTTTTCGATGAGTCTTAAGAGTTCTTTACATATTCTGGATTCAAGTTCCTTATCAGTAAGTGGTTTACGAATATTTTCTCTCATCCTATCCCACAACTGATTTCAGTGCTTCCAACTCAGCCTTGGGAGCCCACATCTCAGAAATGATCCTGAATTGACAGAAGCTCCACTCCTGCTTCCTGCTAGTGTGGAGTTTGTTTTTGTCCCATCGCTGCCCATTTAAAGAGGGTCTGCCTCGTGCATTTGGAAATCCTCGCAAGTGATAGTACATTTCCCAGAGCCCCAATGCCACGTTTCCATGAGAGACTCGGGTCCTCAGCTCTGACTTCTGTCCTTGTCTAATGAGACAGAGTTTGGAAGGGCCTTGGAGGTGGAAGTTAGGAGACTGAGTGAGGGACAGTGGGCAGTGTCCCTTCTAGGAACAAGATGTGCCCTGAACTACAACTTGGCCTAGAAAGCAACAGGTCCCTCCCTGTTCCCACAGCCCCAACCTCCACATACCACATGCTTCTAGTGTACCCTGACCCTGTCTGAGATGCACCTTCTATCAAAGTGGCAAGTGACAAGATGAAAGCCATTTCAAGATGTGTGGCCAAGGCTTCTGTATATGTAACATGCAGCCTCAGGGGTCTAGGCCCTATGGAAGGTGGGATCCCAAACTATAGGCACCTTTCCTCAGACGGGCAGGGTGTGTTCCAGAAGGGGTAACTCACTTCTTTTTCAAGATATACAGATGCTTGAAGATACTCTGACCTTCTCTCTGCCAAGGCCAGCTGTTGAACTTGGAAGAAAAACTCCCAACATCCTAAAGGCCCCTTGCCTGACTCAACATGGAATTGACCATGTTCTGCCTTCTGCCCTCTCCTCCACCTTGCCCCTGTGTGAGAGCTACTTTATAAAATTGTTTCTCAGATAAGAAGCTTAAAGAGGAACAAGACAGCCAAATTTAAATGAGAGCTGACACATGGGGCTTGGCAGTTTGGGGGTAAGGAAGAGTAGAAAAGAGTGCTGCCTCCCTATTTGTGTGCAGAAGGTAACAATCAGGCGCTGTTGGCCCCTTTTAAGTGAGTAACAAACGCACACAGCCTCAAGACCATGCCACTGCCCATCGTCAGCCTCTGCCGCATTAGCCGGCCTGAACTTTATTTACCTGGAAAGTCCCACTGCCTCCTCCTTGCAATGAACTAGTTTGGGTGGCCTCTGCTCCATACTTTTATCTATCATTATTATTATTATTATTTTTGGTACTGGGGATTGAACCCAGGGAGGGCCATGGGCATACTAAGCACATTCTGTACCACTGAGCTCCACCCCTAGAAAATCTCATTTGGAAATCGACCCTCATTGTGAGAAAAAGCATAGCACAGTGCATAGGTGCTTGCGGTCTGGAGCCAGATCACCTGGGTTCAACTCCTGGTTACCTAACTTCTCTGTTCCTCAGTCTTCTTATGCACAAGAGAGAGGTCAACTGTAGTATCTGCCTCCTGGAGTCGTCATGAGGATGGAGTGAGTGGACATCAGTGGACTGAGCCAGTGCCCAGGGTCCAGTAAGCACCTGGTAAATGTCCAACAAACAGAACCCCACTTCTGCCTTCTAGGACAGGCTCTGGAGTCGACTCTCAGGTCTTCTACCACTACCCCAGCTCCTGTTTTTCCACACCAACACGGTCAGAGCTGCTGCTGGCCCTGTTCTCGCCTCTCAGGACTGAGAGCTGGGAGTGCCTCTGGAGGGCTTCCTTCTGGGGGGACTCAGCTCAGGGTAACACACAGCTAGGCCTGGGTTTCTTTCTGACCCACGTCCCCACATGCTGAGACTCTGCTGGCACAGGCCATATGCCTGGAAACTGAAGAGTCCTCTCCAACAACACTCTGAGCCCTCCTCTGAGGCAGAACCCAGGTGGAACCTGCCCTTCTACCAAGTTCTAAGGCAAGGAGGTGGCCATCACCACACAAGACCAATGTAGGGCAGGACCCTGCACAGGTCACATGACCATGAAGTTGGCCCTACTTTCAGCATTCAGAAAACATAATTTCTGAGAAGTCAACAGGAAATTTTCAGGAAGGGAAAACCACAGCCAATTTATTGACTAGCATTCCTGAGCCTTGAAAAGAGACGTATATTTGTAGACTGACTAGAGGCATCAGTATTACAAAAAAAAAAAAAAAAAAAAAAGATTGATTTTTTTTCAAAAAGTCTGGTAGTTTCATATCATATACTAACACCAACATGGCTCACGGTCTGTCCCCAGGAGTGCAGTGCAAGAGCCCTGCCCAGCCTCTATTAGGCCACTTAAAAAACATTATCAAAGTTCGTTCCCTTTCACCCATCAACCCCTCTTCCAGAAATGTGAGAAAACAGAGATAGGAAGATGTGATTTAAGAAAGTCACCAGCTGTCACATATCTAGCCCTGTAATGGGGAAAATTAAATACAGCACATGTAAGACTTCATATAAGACATTCAATAAAAATGTCTAAACAAAATAATTATCTGAAGAAAGTGCTTACACACTTACTTATGTTAAGTTAAAAGGAAAATATAAGGAAGGAAGCAGGACCCCAAAGAATAGTCTCAGCTTTGTGTCATTCTTCTACACACACTATACGAATTTAGAAAAAAATTTAGAGAGAAAACTACTAAAATGAGAATAGTGATTATTCTTGGAGCATATTCTATCTTTTCTACTTTTCTGGGTTTTCAGATTTTCTACAAAGAACTATTGTTATTGAAATAAAAAAGACAACAACAAAGAAAGAATGTTTTGAGAAGTCAGGTCTGAGACTGAGGCTGGCAGCAGCCCAGGCAGGCTGTGATCTAGAAGGGCCGCTGCCCACCGTCTGCACGTGCAAAAACAACCAGAAATTCAGGAGTTTTCGAGATATATATATTTTTTAATTTTAAAGTTAAATCTTTGAATTTGTTAATGTTGGTGACTAATTGAAAAAAATAATCAGACACTGGGACCACACAGCCTGCAGGCCGTTATCTGCAACCTATGATCTGAACTTCAAATCCTCCCACAAAGTGCACCGTGTCATTTTGGCTTTGATACTGCGACTATCACAAAAACAAAGGCACCTTCATTCATAATTATAATACTGTTTTTCTAAAAGAAAGTGAAAAGTTTCAGTCCCACCTGCCTCAAATTTAATTAAAAGTCCCAAACATACATAAATGAATCTGAGAGAAAAAAAAAAAAAGCCTCATTTTCGGTTTTTAGTAACTGCTCCACTTTTTCTTTTATTAAACCCAACCTCTATCCTTGAGGGGAAAAAAAAAAAAAAACAACGAAATACTTTCCAAAAAGAAAGAAAGCAAAACAAGTTAGTATATGATATGAAACTATCAGACTTTTTGAAAAAAAATCAATAAAGTTTTTTTTTTTTTTTTGTAATACTGATGCCTCTAGTCAATCTACAAATATATGTCTCTTTTCAAGGCTCAGGAATGCTAGTCAATAAATTGGCTGTGATTTTCCCTTCCTGAAAATTTCCTGTTTGCTTCTCAGAGATTATGTTTTCTGAATGCTGAAAGTAGGGCCAACTTCATGGACATTTGACCTGTGCAGTTGCACAAGGCACCACTCTCAGACGGTATGTGGTTTGATGCCCTGCAGTAGCACCTTGAATTCTCAAAACATTTTGAACAAGGGCACCAAGTTTTCATTTTGTACTGGGCCCTGAAAATTGTGTAGCCAGTCCTAGTGGATTGTTCCATTTGGGTAACTTATAATAACTGGAGGAAGTGATTCAGATTCAAATACTTTTGTAGTAGGCATTTAATATTGAATAATATATCCATAGGAAATGAAATCAGTATGTCAAAGAGACATCTGTACTCCCAAGTTCATTGTAGCACTATTCACAGTAGCCAAAATGGAAACAACCTAAGTGCCCATTAACTGATGAAGAGATAAAGAAAATGTGGTACAGATACACAATGGGATGCAATTCAGCCATAAAAAGAATGAGATCCTATCGTTTGTAACAACATGGATGGAAATGGAGATCATTATGTTAAGTGAAGAACTCACCCCTACTTTGAATCTAAAAAAGTTGCTCTAATAAAAGTTGAGAGTAGAATGGTGTTTATCAGAGAATGGGGAAAGTAGGGAGGTGGAAGGATGGGGAAAGTTGAATCAACGGGTACTTAGCTGCAGCTACATAGAAAGCGAGATGTTCTGGCATGCTGTAGCACAGAAGGGCAACTGTAGTTAACATAATGTTTTGTATATTTCAAAAAAACTGGAAGAAAGTTTTCACCATAATGAAATGATAAAGGATGAATGAGACGCCAGATATGTTTAACCTGACAGACACATTACACAACATATATGTGTCTGGAAACATTCCATGGTATTCTACTAATATGCACAAATTTTTATGTATCCGTTACAAAATAAATTTTAAAATTTACTAGGAAATCCATTTCTCTAAGAAATCAACTGCCTGTAATTTTTCTACATTCCCTTCCTGCTCTTCACCATAAATACATTCCACATTTTACAGTCACAAAACTTTTTTTTTTTTTTGGAGGTGCTGGGGATTGAACCCAGGGCCTTATACATGCAAGGTAAGCACTCTACCAACTGAGCTATATCCCCAGCCCTACAGTTGTGACCATAGAACATATAATTATCTTTTTCAGTTATTGCCTACCCACTTCGTTTCGTAAGTGAGCATGCTGCAATTTGCCATTTTCCTACCCATAGATATGAATATACACTTCAAAGTGTATCTTTGTGAATATGGTTTTGTTTTCTTTTTTGGGGGTGGGATGGGGTTAGATTATCTGCTTGGGGTAAAAGTAATAAGGGCAGTCTCGTGACTTTTTAAATGTATAAATAATAAATGCAGAATTGCTTTTCAAAGGGCTATGCTAATTAATCTTGCAACCAGCAGCATGTGAGCAACTGCCTTCTCACAAGCCCTGAACATTGTCATTTCTTTAAATTTTGTTCAGTAGTATAAAATGAATTGGTCAGCAACTTTACCTTAATCTTCAATTAACTTACTCAGCAAGGTAAACAAATACTCACTAAGGACCTGGATTTTGCCAGTCTTTTTATATATGTTTATGTTGCAAATCAAGTGAAGGCAAATTATGAAAAAGCTTGGAAAGGAGGTGAGAGATATCATGAGGGGCCAGAATAATATACTACTCAAAACTGAGAACCTGCTGAGAAACAGAATTCATTGTGATTAACTGACCAAACTCCCGATGAGACTAAATTGGCCTGTGTGGTTAAGACACTCAGATTTTTAACTATGAAGAAGGTGAAGACTTGACATCTGCCTCTTGTTCTTCTAAGACCAGAATTCAACCCTTGTCCTGAAAGAATAACGTTTCTTATTCGTTTCTTAGTGAAAGAATGACGTTTCCTTAAAGCAAAACGCCACGGGGTTAGAGAGCAGAGTTCTCTGCTGCACCACTGAAGCCTCCAGACGCGTGGGAAATTGTGAAATCTCTCTTGGAGATTTTAAAAGGATAAGAGAAATATCTGCTTCCCCCGGATTTCATTACGGTCCTGCTAAGAGGCAGTGGCCAGCAGCTGGCCCCAGGGCTCCATATGACCCCCCCACAGCTCGCAGCATGGACCCAACAGAGATAGCCACTTACTATTTATACTGAACGCTGTAGACAACTGGTCTGGTGTCATTGACTGGGAACGGTGACTCCCAACTCAGAACCTGTTCCAAATTGTACAGGCGAATCTTCGGGTGCTGAGGAGCAGCCAGCTGGGAAAGGGAGTCTTGAAGGAGTCAAGAATGAGAGAAGAGGGGTGGGGAGAGGGAAGAAAGCGGGAGGGCAAATGAGAAAAGTCAATTTCCTAAACCCTTAAAGGCACATTATCAATGTATCATTCATATAATTCTATTTTTGTCAAAGTGCAGAAATGGTACACTGTTCTCCATGGGCATGTCCCCTTCCCACCTGTGACTGCAAAGGCAGCACTATTGACATAGTAAGTGTGGGGTTACAAAGGTACCTGGGGCTACCTCGCCACCAGCACTGTCCAGTCGCTAGGAATAGTTCCTGGGAACTGCAGTTGGTGAGACTGGAATCCCAGGTTCACTGTTCATAAGTGCACTTGAATCTACACTGTCTGAGCCTCAGTTTCTTCTTCAGGAATAAGGGATTGCAAATAGTACCCCATGGAGTTGGGGTAAAGATTACATTGCTGACCATGTGATGTGCATTAGCCCTAGATTGGTTACCAAGGAAGTTTTTGGTAAAACTCTGTGAATCTGCACAAAAACACCCCAAATGAGGTGGGCCAAAGCCCAAAGGTGCAAGAGAGGTGAAGGGCTGTCTTCTGGGCTTCAGAGATTCTCTGTTTCTCAAGGACCTCAAAACAAAACAGTCACTGAGATACCAGATACACTGCAGATTCCCAAGTCTCACCGGAGATCAGGAAATCTGCATTTTCTTTTTTGGGGGGCACTAGGGACTGAACTCAGGGGCACTCAACCACTGAGCCCCATCCCCAGCCCTATTTTGTATTTTATTTAGAGACGGCGTCTCAATAAGTTGCTAAGTGCTTCGCTGAGGCTGACGCTGGCTTTGAACTTGCGAGTCTCCTGTCTCGGCCTCCCCAGACACTGGGCTTACAGGCGTGCCCCACCGCACCCAGCTGAAATCTGTATTTTCAACAAGCTTCCCAGCTCATCCTTAGGCACAGGAGAGTTTTGAGAGCCATGAACAACAAAATCCTATAGTCCCTACGTGCATCAGAAGCCCCCTCTTTGGGTGGCCTGTCGGGCAGATGCTTCATAGGACTGGGCGGGAGATTGAAAGCAAAGAGTGTTTCTCTAGAGAGAAACCATGATAACACTTTCTCTGATTCAAAGATTAATGAGAAATGCTCAGAAGATAAAAAGAAAAGTTGAAAAACACGCTGTTCCTGAATTCAAAGCAGGAAATTCAAACCACATATTTTCAGTAAATGCCTCCAAACCTGAAGAACAGGGTGCCAAGCAGCCTATGGCCTGGCCTGCTGCTCTTCTGAGGGACAGACTGCCAAGGGTCTGTGACCACTTGTTTACTTAGAGAATGTCCATCGCCTCCACTTCTATAGGCTCTGGCTGACCTTCCTCCTAGTTCCTTGTCAACAGTTAAACAACACTTCTCCTGACTTAGGCCAGGCCTCACAAGAACCTGGGCCAAAGGCAGACCAGCAAAACAGCGGGGTGGGAGGCAGACCAGCAAAACAGCGGGGTGGGAGGCAGCCTGCTGTGGCTGCCAGGATGGGGGAGATCCCCAAACTGAGCTGAGAACTAGCGCCTGCTTCCATGGGGGGCTGGGCAGTGGCCCCTGGGGTGAGTGCTTGGCTAAGGCTGGGCACCTATCAAGTTCAGAACTTCAGAAACCTCTTTTATTGTCTGCATTAGGTTTCTATTGCTGCTGACCACAAACCGAGTGGCTCGTAACCACCTGGATTTATTAAATAATCTTCCAGTTCTGGAAATCAGAAGTTTGAATAGGACCCACAGGCTGAAGCCAAGGTGTGGGCAGGGCTGTGTTCCTCCTGGAGGCTGCAGGGCAGAATCCACTCCCTTGCCTTCCCCACCTCTGACGGCTGCTTGCGTTTTTGGCTCATGGCACCCTGCTCCGGCAATGCTGGGCCGGCTTCTTCTGGAGCTACCATCTCTTCTGCTCCCTCTTCCATCTCCAAAGGACCCTCTGAGGACACTGGGCCCACATGGCCTGACCATCCTGGACCATCTCCCCATCTCAGGGTCTTCAATGTAATCACATCTGCGGGGTCCCTTGTGTCATGCCAGGTTCCAGGGATTCCGTAAGGACATCTCTGGAGACCACTAGACTCCTACCACACTGCCCCTTCACTGTCCCCCATCTCTGGGGAGGAGACAGCAGGAATACTCTCTGCCTCCCGTCCTCCATCTCGGGGCACCCCGTCTCCCCAGCCTCAACATCCAGTTGAGAAAGGAAGCCCCATACCCGGGGCTGACAAGGAAGTGTTCCCACCCTAACCCATGTGTGGGATGGCAAACTGGGTCCCTATCAGGGCTGGGACAGCGCGCAGTGGCACCCGTGAGACCCCAGGTTCAATCAGCACTGATCGCTGTCAAAGCTGGAGTTCCCAGGCCAGCTTCTACTGTCTTCAGCTTCCACGTTCCCCAGCCTGAGGGGGACACAGCTTTGTCTTCAGGGGGAGTTTCTTGGAGTTTCAGAACTCTGGGCTCCACGGTGCCAGACTGCCCATTCACTGAAGGACCTTACAAAACTGCTCTCCTCCTGTCTCCAAAGACCCTCTTTGAAACTCACCCTCTTCCTTCCAGGCCTTGTGGCTCCTTGTTGGCCCTGGGAAGCACCTAGCACATTCCTCCTCGGGACTCTGCCCTCCCAGGTCCCTTTCCTGAGAGCCCTCTTCTCCGGCTGCTCAGGTGCTGCCTGATATGAGCCCTGGAGTAAAATGACAAACTGCCCTCTGGACTCTGTCCCCTGCAGTGACTTTTCTCCAAGGCACTGTGCATACCCGAGTCCTTCACGGATTCTAGAACTAGATCCCAGAACTAGATCACTTGGGCTTCTTGCTTCTGGCAAGGTGTCTGGATCTCAGAATGGGACTGGCAGCAGCGTGCTTCACAGGGCTGCTCGGAGGCACCGAGGAGCTAATTTTAAACATGGTGCTGGCATGGGATCATGCATCATGATCATCGCATCTCCTCACTGCTGGCAGCGGACAGTCTCTCCTAGGCAATGGAGGGGGTGTTCCAAAAAGGCAGGGTGTTGCTGGGTTTGGAGCTGTTTTAGTCCCAGGGCTCAGGATTTACTGACTGAATGGCCTGTTCTTTAAAGATTACATGGCCACTTTCTTGAGGGTTGCATTATCCACTCAAACCCACGCAACCCACGAAAAGCCAGGCTCTCTGTCCCTTCCTTGAGTTACCTAGCGTTCCCCATTTCTCTGGTTTCAGAGGCTGGGCGGTGGGGCTTGACAACACTGGAACACAGGTTTACCTGGATGGCTCTAAAGAGTCAATCAATATATTTAGGGCCACAGCACCTGCCTTCAACGGTGTTGACAGAGGCTCCATGGGAAAAGAACAAGAATTCAGGGACAAAGGGCCTCAGGTGGAATCCTGATCCAAAGCCTATAGCCACTGAGTCTCAATTTTCTCAAGAGTAATGAAAGGCAAACCACACACTGCTGTCAGTGTCACTTTAAAGATGTGACTATTTCAGGGTTTCCTGATTTCTCATGAATGAATGGCTTTTTCTGCAGGTGGTGAGCCGCAACTAGTTTCAAAGACAGAGTGGCCATAAATGGGTGGCCCGATGCTGGGCAAGGTATTCCATGGTTCTGTCCTGTCCTCTCATAGGCAGAATAGCACCCGCCGCCCCCACCCCCCCCACAGTGTCTGTGCCTTGTGAATATGTTGGATTACATGGCAAAGGGGAAACAAGGTTGCAAATAAAACTTAGGTTCCTAGTCCAATGACCTTACAATAGGAAGATTATTCTGGGATATCTGTGGGCCCAATGTAATCACAGGGTGTTTCTTTAGAAGCTGACAAAAGCAAGGAAGTAATTCCTCTCTCTGGGGCCTCCAGAACTTTGACTTTTGTCCTGTGAAACTCAGATCAGACTTCTGACCCCCACAACTGTAAGATAGTAAGTCTGTCTTGTTTTGAGCCACTAAGTGGGTGATGTTACGGCAACAATCAGAAACTAATCAAGTCCCACCCAGGCCTCATGGACACCCCAGCTCCTACCAGATAAAAACTTAGATAAATCCTTAGAAGGGTGCACAGAGGTCCATGCTACCTTCCTTCTCCATGGTCTTGGAGGAAATGAGTCATCAACTACTAATGGCAAGAGGAGATAATCCAGGTGTAACCCATGAATTGTGTCCACTGCTCCTCATAGTCACAGCTCCTTCTAAGCCACCTTTCTGCCCCAACCTGCCACCTCTGATGCTTCCTTCCCCAACCCACCACCCCAAGCTGTCCTGGATCCAGGCATTTGGGACTTTATACAAACTTAAAAATAGGCTATCCTGGTCTGAACGACATAGTTTGGTTAACAACTCACATACAGATCCTAAAATACAATTAACATTAACTTATCATTGATCTCCACAACCTAGGATCAGCTCTTCAGGATCTTTCTGCTTGGTGGAGGGCATTATGATGAACATGAACTACATGACATTAATAATCTCACCTCCAACACCCTACAAATGAGAAGTAAAAAAACATTCCTCATTCCTCATCCATTCCTCACTTCAGTAAATACTGGACATCAAATTATTTACCTAGATCATTTGTCTAAAGGACAGTTTTGCTTTCTTGGGAATAAAATAGGAAGATTATCTACTTTGAAAGAATGGTTGAGAAAATTAAGAGAATATATATATATATATACACACACACATACATACATATATATGCTTGGCACCTTGACTTAGAAGATGGTTCAATAAATGGTAACTAGGATTATCATTTGTAATGTTAGCCAAAAACATCCCACCTTCGTGAGAGTTTTGATCACAGAGACTGTGGACAAACAGGAGACTTAAGGAACATTCATTTGCAGTGGTTTTGATGTTGTTGGGGATAGACCATCTTTGTCAGAAGTCTCTAAGCACATTAGAAGGTTTAGATGTTCAAGTTAGCAGCTAATGGCAATACAGTTCTGCAGCACAAGTACATATCCATTAAGCAGCAGCTACAATTACAAATAGAAGCCTTAATTCTTCAACACTCAGGTAATTAAATTGACTTACTACATTTTCACACTGTTGATTACATTTTCTCTTTGGAGCAAATGGCTACTCAACAGAGCCTGGTTACAAATTGTTGGGTCTGATATTCTAAGGGATAGATATTATAAATCTTGGTTTCAAAAAAATTATTCCAACACTTTTGTCTACCTGCTCTGGCCATAAACGCAATCTCATTATTATTAAAGGACACTTGTAAATCAGGGAATAGTCTGGAAACTTTTCTATTACCTGCTTGCCGTATAATCATTGTTAACATTTTCACTTTGTGTTTTGACTAAAAAAGGATTTCTCTTTAAAAATATCCCAGTTAGGGGTTTGGGATTGTGGCTTAGCCGTAGAGCACTCGCCTAGCATAGGTGGGACTCGGTTTGATCCTCAGCACCACATAAAAATAAAGGCATTGTGTTGTGTCCATCTAAACCTAAAAAATAAATATTAAAAAAATCCCAATTAGATTTTTATAAAAATTATTTAGTACGAAAATTTCAAATTGCTTTGATTAGTATAAAGCACTACTACTTTTCAAAGGATCTATGGGTCCAGTTTATTGTCAATGAACTATAGAACAAGACTTTTGTGGAACACAGTAAGTTAATCATTGGAAAGATGGACACACACCTGGATGCTGTAACAATTTCAAATTGTAAAGTTTTAAAAATGGACTCATCTCAAGTGATCTGTAAACCGTTCACAGGCTACCAAGAGTCAGTGACACACCCTCAGTGGCCCTGATACAAAGTACCATTATTTGCCCATCACCCAATTGGGCAATTACCAAATGTCATCTGAGGAGGCCTAGGCAGGGGACATAAATAGGTTCCTCAAAACTTGAAGCTGGGGAGCATCAGAATTGAGACTCAAACTGACTCCTATGGAAATGTCTCCTATGGAAATAGTCAAGCATTTAACCAGCGCACATCCTTATGGGCATCCCCTCCTCCCACTTTCAGGAGAGTCTAAACTTAATTGAGGGTCTTTGCAAGAAAAGCGGGTAGAAAGAACCAAATCCCCAACATCACCTTCAAGTGGGAGGAAATCTCTAATTTCGTGAGACTATTCAAGTGTCATTCTACCTTTGATATCATCTCTCTATAGGAAAGAACCCAGCAAAATACATGTGCAATGTTCTTTGACACTGAGATCTTTTCCTTTTCCTTTAGTTCTGTGTTCGGCTTATTGGTCATTTAGGGTCAGAGGTAAGGAAGATGGGGAGCCCAGGTAAAGTGGGTCTGGGCAGAGGAGAGCTGGGATTAAAATCCTGGTTCGGCTGACGTCCCTACCCTCCTTGCAACTGGAGGGAAGTGGTCATTTCTTATAAATTGAGTCCCTGTCCCTGGGCTGACCCCTACAGCACCAATCCTTGCTGCCTCTAGGAAGGTCTGAGTCCAGCTTTCAGGTCCGGCCACTGGAGAGGGCCCTCTGGAAGGGGATAAGCCCACTCTAGCCGGGGTTAAGAATCTGCGGTCAGTAGAGGCAGCCCTTTCTCAGATCTCTGGAGTGTATTTTCCCTTTGATCATTTGGAAAATCTGGAGATCTGAGCGGCAGTCAGTTCCAGGTTTGGTTGTTCTGGGCTGGGGGAGAAGAAGCGGCAGCGCGTCCAGCTTCGTGCAGGGGTAACGGGAGTGTCCCCTGGTCTGGGAAGGATGTCCCAGGGGCCAAGATCCGGGAGAGGTGACGGCCGTCCAGCGGCTCCCTCCAGCTGCTCCAAATCCTTGCATGGTCACTGCCTGGAATTCCCCGCCGCCCACTCCACACTCACTGGGGGCTCCCGGTGGGTGCCTCCGGGCCGCTCCACTAGCTGCGGGCACCCTCCGGATCCAGGCTCCTACACAACCCTTCCCGATCCGGCATGGTGCAGACCCCTGCCGACCGCGACACCCCGCGGACCCCAGCGCTCCGGGAAGTCCACTGAACCCCACCCAATCCGGGCACCCAGCGGCGCCGCAGGCGCTGTGGGCACTGGGCGGACCTCCACACCGGCCAGGGCCCCGCACACCCACCCGCAGCCGCCCTGCCCAGGCCTCCGGGGGTCCTAGCCAGGCTTACCTGGCGGGGGCGCCGCGGCGCGCAGGCAGCTGAGCAGCGGCGGCAGCAGCGGCAGCAGCAGCCACAGCCCTGGGGGCGCCGGCGGCCGCATGGCCCGGGGCGCTGGGCGCAGCAGCGGTCTAGCCTCGGCGGCCCGGCCCCTGATGGGGTTCGCCGAGCCCTCAGGTCGCCGCCGCGGCGGCCATGGCGAGCGCAGAGCGCAGGGCGCCGGGCCCGCCTCTTCCCGAGCGTCCCGGGAGCTGGGGAGCCCGGCTCCGGCGCCCCGCTCCGCCCCGCTCCGCCCCCAGGGCCGCCGGCCGTCGCGCCCCGCCCCGCCCCGGCGCGGGACTTTCCCCCGTGTTCCCGGGAAAGCCGCGGCGGGTGGCCCCGCACTGTCCACGGCGGCAGCGCCCCGCGCATCCCGGAGCTCGGGACCACGGCCGCCTTCCCAGCGCGGAGCGGGCCGGCCTCGGCCTGGCCCAGAGCAGAGTGGAGAGGGGAGCCCGCCGGGTGCCCACCTTCGGGGGGCTTGTGATCCTTCTGGAAAGACCCCTCGAAACCCAGAGCTGGGGAGGGGCTTGGCTGGTCATTCGAGCCCCCATTCCCGTTTGTCTGCCGCTGCTCTGGTGCCTGGAGAGCACGATTTTGAGGATTCGTCCCTTTAGTTTGAACTTTTATTATATTTAAGGCCTCAAAAGTACATATTGAGCTTTTTAATTTTTTAAAAATTTTTTAGTTGTAGACAAACGCAATACCTTTATTTTATTAATATTTGTGTGGTGCTGAGGATTGGACCCAGTGCCTCACACGTGCCAGGCAAGTGCTCTGCCTCTGAGCCATAGCCCCAGCTCCCACATTGAGCTTTTAAGGCTTTTGTTGAAAAGGGTTTTAGGAGTCAGAAAGGGCCACTTTAACGGAAGGAGCAAGGAGCGGGGCTTGGTGGATCCTGGGCAAAGAGCAATGGGAACTTCCCGCATTTCTTAATAGTCTGTGGGTTTGACCCTGAGTCATGCCGTGGTGTATGAGGAAGTAACCCCTGGAGCTGGCCAGGGCCAGGCCTGACTTAGAGCAGGAGTCTGAGCCTGCTCGGTTGCCATTGCCATGCCTGCTGGGAAATCTTTGAGGCCGGGACCTTCTCCCAAGACCTACCTTAAATCCAGCTCAGGCAGAGGGGCCAAGGAGGGGATGGGTGGAGGGAGACCAGAAATTAAAGAAGGACACCTTGGGGGATGTGACTTGGTGGTAGAGCACTTGCCTACAAAACGTGAGGCCAGAGCAGTGGAAAAGTAAAGAATGAATGAATAAATAAATAAATAAATAAATAGGTCATCGATGTCCGGCTCAGCAGGTTGGCAGGTAGTGTTGGGCAATATAGATCATTACTTTAGGACTTCCTGCCTTTTAAAAAACTTTCCTGTTTTTAGAGCTCTTTTGAAGCCAGGCCAATGTGTGGTGAAATATGTGGTGAGATATCTAGCAAGTCCTTGAATTGTGCTTTGAGTATTTCAAGATACAGAGGTGTATTTATTTTCATGTTAAGTGAAAACAGCAGGACAAGACTTGGAATTCTTTCCAACAGGAGGCATTGAAGATGACTAGTCAACTGGCTAGGTGCCTGCAGTCTGTAAACTCAGCCACTTGGAGGCTGAGGCAGGAGGATGGCAGACTTGAGACAACTTAGCCAGATCCTGTCTCAAAGCAAGAAATAAAAAAGGACTGGGAGGTAGCTCAGTGGTAGAGTGTCCCTGGGTTCAGTCCCCACTACCCCCGCTCCCACAAGAAGACCAAAATAAGGCTATGACATAGGTGGTAGAGTTATGAATAATAAGTTTCCTTTTTAAAAAAAACTTTTCTTTTTTCCCTCCCACTGGTATTTTACTTTTATGGGGGGAGTGTACATCAGCCTCAGCTGAGGCTAGGAAGGGTCTAGGATCAGCTTTGAGGTTGAATTTTCAGGAGCAGCCACACTGAGCCTGTGGTCTTGACCCAGGATACGAAAGTCCTGGAAGCATTTATTTTTCCCCAGCTGGAGAACCTCTTTCCAGAACTCTTTGCTACTAAAACTTGGGGGATTTACATTTTCCTTAGAGAAGTCCTTGGCACAGTGCTAAAAGGAGCTCCTTGGATGGAATCCTTCTGACCCCTCAAGCACATAATATCCCCAATGCAGGTGGTTAGCTCCCTGCCCTAAGGCAGATTGCATGGCAAGGCCAACAACTCTTGGTGGTTGGCATTCCACTTTCCTGGTCCTTGGGGCAGGAGGACTCTTGAAGTCACCCATAGCTAACTCTTTTTTTTTTTTTTTTGGTACCAGAATGGATTGAACTTAGGGACACTTGACCACTGACAGTAGTGGTCCACTTTATGCTCTAAATATAACCCTTGCTGCTCTGCCACTGCAACTTATTTTTTAAAATTAACATGTTTCCCCAGCCTAATTTTGTATTTTATTTAGAGACAGGATTGCACTGAGTTGCTTAGTGCCTCCCTGTTGCTGAGGCTGACTTTGAACTTGCAATCCTCCTGCTTTAGTCTTCCAAGCTGCTGGGAAGCACCCCCGAGCCCCTCAATAACCAACTTATTTTTATCCAGTCCCCTGATCTGAAGAGAACAGGAAGCCAATCTTCTTGGTGTTTCTTGTGAAAGGTGTCTAGCATCCACAACTCTTTTGTCTTTCCAGTTATACCCCTGCACATCATGTTATACCTCGATCATTGCATGTAACTTCCTAAGTGTGTTCCCTCTGTCTCTCCCTTTTGGAGGCAGATTTAGTGTGAACCTACTGAAAGCTTAAATCTCAGGGGACTTCATTTGCCAGGTCTCTTCCAAAGCCATAGGAGGGGCTCTGGCATTGTGTGCACGTGGTAGTTCACTTTTGTAAAAATCTGCAAAGGAGGAGGTTTTAAACCATGATTGTTAACAGCCTCTTTCCTCCTGTCCCTCTGACATGCTTTTTACATGAGGTGATTTTGGGGTGGCTGTGAGATTTTTGCAGTGTCCTGACATTTTACATCCTATATAGGTATAGATCAATAGCAAATTGTGAAATAAAAAAACTTTTCTCAACTATCAATAAATAGAAAACAAATTTCAATTATCCATGCCAGAGAAAAGACTGAATTAATTTATACGTAGTATATGTGAATGTATACGTATGTAGCAATATCTGACATTTTCCAGCATACATGTATCTCCACTAATTGCCAAGTTAAAAGTAATTTTTCTAAACTATCAGTAATTTAAAAAAAAAAGATAACTCCTGCTGAAGAAAAGACTGAGTTAACTTTCTCTTTCTATAGGAACTATCACATAAGGTCATCTATAAAGGCAAGGATGACGTAGTTTAAAAAATGGTAGGCAAAGAGAATTATGGGGTTTGTCAGGTAGTTAAGATATTGTTTTATTTTTCTGGGTTTTGTGATGGTATTTGTGTTTGGCATCTAAAACATCTGTAGCCTGTTATTTTCTCATTATGTAGCAGTGGTCCATTTTATGCTCTGAATATAACCCTTGCTGCTCTGCCACTGCAACTTATTTTTTTAAATTAACATGTTTCTTTCTCTTCCTTTCTTCCTGCTCCTCCCTAATCTCTCCTCCTCCCTAATCTTAGGGGAAACAGGATTACCTTTCTTCCCCAACCTAGGCAGAATTAATTATCTGTGAGATGTGGAAAGTGCCAAACCCCAAATAGTGTGGCCTGAGAAGAAGGAGTGAGGAAGAAGGCAATCCATTGATGACGCTGATCCTTTCCCAGAACATTCTTTCCCAGAGACAAGACAATCCCTGGGGAGGAGATGGCCATCAAGTCTAGAAGGGCAGTCCCTGGGAGGACCCAAAGCATTGATCCTTCTCCAAATAAATCCTTTCCCAATGACAATGCAATAGGATTGTGGAGGGGAAGAGATAAATACTGAATGTTAACCCCATACCCTCCATTCTTCTCCGAGTCAAAATGTTGCCCAGTAAAAACAAATCTTTTTCCTGAGTTCCCAAACTGACATGCTCTGTCAATAATTAAGTCACCTCTCAGTGTAAGCTGTATGAGCACAGACTCCCCCTTTGGCCAGTGGCTCATTTTCCACCAGGAAATTTGGTCCATCAGAGGCATGACTTCATCACTGAATAAAGGCCGTGCTGATCCGTGAGGTTTGCATGCCTGGCTCCATCTTTTGGGCTAACATTATCTGTCCCTAAGTACATACCCACCATAGGAAGGAAGTAATCCAGACTTTGGGAATGGTACCAGAAGATCTCAGAAATGATCCCCGAATTAACAAGTGGATTACAACTTCAGACAGAGAACACAGTGGCCTTTAAGTCATCTCTTTAAAAGCTTGCCATTTCAGCTGATGAGCAGAATCACAGTCTTTGGGACAGGAGTCCCTGTGCTTCTCCTTTGCTAGAAAAGCAATAAACCTTCTTTTTCCTTTTTCTCAAACTGTGTCCTGGTTATTGGATTGGCATCGGTGACAAGGACCAAGGTTTCAGTAACAGGTGCAGCCATATTCTTAATATTTGGGCCGGGTGGGAGGCCTTGCAAAGGCTTGCAGTGTGGCTCCTCTGCTGACATGCTGGATGGCAGGACTACAGTTCCTACCACATCTTCTGCCCCAGCCTCCCTGTCTCCTGGGTCAGTTTCCCTTCAGTTTAGCTCCATGACAAGAGGGCATCAGCTTTCCCCTTTCTCATTTTTGGAGGAACGAGAGAGTGGTGGGGCTCCAGCTCAGTTCCTGGTCTGTTCCACCTCCTGTTCCTCTTCTCCTCCCAACTTCTTGCCTGAGAACTTCAGGCTCCAGTACCAGAAAAAGGAAAAAACAGTCTCACATAAACTGTGTAACCACCTCCCACGATTGCTTAAGTTCAAATCTGTATAATGAAATAGTTCTCCCCACCCCCATACACACACAGACACATCACGCACACACACACACTTCACACAGTGGTTCTGTTTCTCTGACCAGTATCTGGCTGGTCATGCCCCAAATCACACGACTGAGGAGTGGTGGCATGTCCTCCAGCCCAGTTCTGCCCAGCTCCAATGCCTCTAGCATTTCACAGCCCCCTTCTCATCTTGCCGTTCAGTTCCCCCTAATCAGGCTGTAGACAGGGGACAGAGACAGTCAATGTAGGTAATAAATGATTGGGTCAGAAAGAGGGGGGCGATTCAGGAGGAAACGAAATGCTAACACCTCCAGAGCCTTTCTCCCTGCTGCAACCTGTTGTCAAGGTGCCTTTCTCCCTCCCTAAGAGGGGCTGTTAGTGAATGCCTCCTGGGCCACTCCCT